TTTCGATGTGTTTGAAGGATATTTCTTCTTTAAGAAAATTGATCTGATTGAGTTTTTGGTCGATTTGATTGAGACTCCGATGGAGAGGTTTGCTGAGGAATTTAAAAGTAATTATTTTTCCTAAGTGTTGGGTAGATATACCCTCACTAGAAATGTTAATAGGGAAAATAGATTTGATGAATGGTGTTCCTAAGATTACTTCATTCTTAAGATTTTTTACTAGGAGAAATGAAGTTTCAACCTGGAGGTTGTCATTCTTGATGATTGCCGAAGGAAGCTTATACTGGATCTCAAGCCGTGAACCACGGGCAGTCCTAAGCTTCTCAGAGGTTTTATGAAAGTATTTGGTCGGAATAATTCCTTCCAAAATACAGTTGAAATCAGCTCCAGTATCAAATAGAGCAATTGTGTTTAAGACAAAGTCTTCGATAAGAATGGAACATCAATATAGAATTTTTGGATGCTACACTGATTAATCAAGGCATTGAAGAGGGCGTCCTCATCAGTAGAATTATGGTCGGAATCATGATCCTCACTATGATTGTCATGGTCATGCTGAACCACGCTATCAGAAAAAGTTTCAGTTATCTAGGATATAAAAGTCTCATGCAACTGCTGCTTCTTTTCGAACACACCCAGAGAGACTTTTCACTAAGTCATCAACAACGCCACGAACTAGAAAAAAAAAAAGAGTTTTTCTGGGTAAAAATGGTTCATTGACCTCAACTTATAAATAACCTTATATGGTCCATTTCTCCTAGTAAAAAATCTTAAGAATGAAGTAATCTTAGGAACACCATTCATCAAATCTATTTTCCCTATTAACATTTCTAGTGAGGGTATCTCTACCCAACACTTAGGGAAAACAATTACTTTTAAATTCCTCAACAAACCTCTCCATCGGAGTCTCAATCAAATCGACCAAAAACTCAATCAGATCAATTTTCTTAAAGAAGAAATATCCTTCAAACACATCGAAAACCAGCTTTCCCAACCTCAAATCAAACAAAAGATTATGAGTCTTCATGATCGTTTTCAGAATAACATATGCTCTGATCTTCCTAATGCCTTCTGGGATAGGAAAAGACATATGGTTAGTCTTCCTTACGAAAAGCATTTTACCGATAGACAAATCCCAACCAAAACTCGGCCTATCCAGATGAGTCATGAACTTGTCAACCATTGCCAAAAGGAGATTAAAGATCTTCTTTCCAAGGAATTAATTAGAAAGAGCAAGAGTCCTTGATATATATATATATATTCAAGGCGTCAAAGAAATCATGATACATTCATCGATTATAGGCAACAACTACAATTTTCTAAAGACAATCCTGTGTACCAAAATAATATGTCATTTTACATTAATCAATTAACTTATTTGTTAATTTTACCAAATACTTTCTATTCAATTAGTTAGTTTGTTAGTTTCAAGATTTTCAGCTCTTCATTTAACTTCTAAGTTTTCAATAAACTTATAACTTTTTCATACACACTTTTGTATTTAATACTCAATTATTTTCATAATACTTGTCATTCTACGCATATATAAAAAATTAATAATAAATAAATAAAAGAGAATAACAATTTTACAAAATTAATTTTATAATTAATTTAAAAATAATAATAAAAATAATAATCATCTTTTAAAAAATAATAACTTTTTATAAAAGTATTATGAGTATCATAAATAGAAAAGGAAATAATAATATCATATTAAAATATTAACATAATAATTATTTTACAACTGATTTATTATTCGAAATCATGATTAATGAGTAGGATGGGAGATTGGGAGTGGGAGACGGAGAGTGTATTTTTTTTTTTTTTAAGTCGCGTGCGTATCGTAACTTCCCTGCATCACTCCGCGTTGTATCCCCTTCACTTCCATTAACTCACCGTTATACAGGTAACGTAATTTGGACTTCGGTGTCGAATACCTCTAATTAGAAGTCAACTGTAGAGGGTGAAACGGTAATCTCTCGAACCACAGGAAACACCCCTGCTCCAAGTAGGTGCTAACTCTAATTAATTAAATATTAAATATATTTTTAATTTTTAAAATTTAAAATTTAAAGTAAATTTATTTTAATTCCTTAAATTTAAATTTGATCTTTTAAGTTTGATTATTTCAAATAAAGCATGTTTTAATTTTTATATTCAAATATTGTTATAAGATTTGTTAAATACTATGATATAAAATCTACTTATAGATATTTTTATCAGTGAAAATATTACATTAAACTTAGTGAATGTTACATAACTCAATCAGTTACTTTTAAATATGTAATTGATGACTTGAGAGATTAAAATAAAATTTTTAAAATTTACAAAGATTAAAAATAATAATTTTAAATTTGAAGAACAAAACTAAATTTACCTTATATTTGAGAAATTAAAAACATATTTAAGTCATTACTTAATTTAATTAAGCTTACTTCATTTTGGTTATAATAATTTATGGTGAAAATGTCTTTATAGTTTCCATTATTTTACTTATTTTACTTTTTAATTCATATAGTTTAAAGTGAACATTTTTAATCCTTATATTTATCATTTTAAATTTTTTTAGTCTGTATAGTTTAAAATAGATTTTTTTTTTAGTTTTTATATTTACAATTTTTAATCTTTTTAGTCTCTATCGTTAATTTTTGTTTTTGTAACATTATCTATTTCATGTTAATGTGATGAAGATATTAATTCAATATTATGTATTTAATGTCAAATTTATGTTGTTAAAGTTACTATAAATTAAGTCACTTGAGGCTCCATACTTTTTTTGTACCCTCATGAGCAATATTTACTTTTGAGACACTTTTTTTTAACTCTCACAAATTGAAGATCTCTACCACTTTAACACAAAATAAACAACATTATAAAAAAAAAATAATGATCGGGATTAAAAGGATTAAAAATTATAAATATAGGAACTGAAAGTATTTATCTTAAATAATAGGGACTAAAACGATTAAAAACTACAAGTGTAGGAACTAAAAATATTTACCTTAAATTATAGAAACTGTAAAGGATTGAAAAAAGGTAAGTATAAAGATTAAAAAAGTTTATTTTAAATTATAAACACTAAAAGGAAAAATAAATAAAAATGTAGACAAAAAAAGTATTTTAACTATACTTTTATAATCTTATAATTTCACTTATTTTACTTTTTAGTCTCTATAATTTAAAATATAACTTTTAGTCTATATACATATTTTTTTTCAATTTTTTAGTCCTGATAATTTAATATATATCTTTTTGGTCTCTATATTTATAAAAAAAATTTAATTCTTTTAGTCTCAATCGTTATTTTTTTTGTAACATTATATATTTTGTGTTGATGTATTAAAAAATTTTAATTTTGTAAAAGTTAAAAAAGAGTATCTTAATGATGAACATCTCAAGCGAGAATATAGAAGAGACACAAAGTGTTAAAAGACTTAATTTAAAATAAATCCAACAAAATAAATTAAGATACATAAATTTAAAATTAATATCCTTGTCATGTAAACATAAAAGAGATAATGTTATAAAAAAAATTAACAACGAAACTAAAAAAATTTAAAAAATCAAATATATGAACTAAAAAAATGATCTTAAATTATAAATAATAAAAAAATTTTAAAAAAAGTAAGTATAAAATATTTTTAATTTATAAAGAAAAAAGTAAAGTAAATAAAATAATAAAAAAATTTAAATCTTTCATTTGTTTTAGAATTTCTATTGAATCATTAAATATTAATAAAGCAACTTTTTCTTGGTTACGATAACTTTAACAATTAATTCTATAATTTAATAAGAAAGTATATCTTTAATATATATATATTTTTAAGACTATTTTATTCTTATAAATTAACATCCCGCATTTTATATATAAAATTTAAGTATTTAATTTATCTAAATTAAAAAAATAATTAATTTAATTGATATATCTTATTTATATTGTTTTAATTTAATTTTATATTAATTTTCTTTTCTAATTAATAATCATATATTTTTAATCATGTATGTTGTATAATATTTTTTCTCTTAATTATATTTATCTTTTTTCTAACTAATTAAAAAATATATTTTTAAAGAATTTATAATAAATATATCTTATCAAATTAAGAAAATACATTTTAATTTGAAATATTTTAGTTTAAATTAATTAATTCACAAAAAATATAAATTAACTATTATATAAGATATAAATAATTGTTGGAAATTGAATATTATATATATGAAATATAAATAATATTTTTAACTATATATTTTTTTATTTTATCTTAAGTTTCATTTTTGAGTATTTTTTTAATAGAGACAGAGACTATTTTTTTCCTACCCGTAATAATAATAATTATTTATAGTGGTAGTAGTTTCTTTCTTGGTACTTGGTAGGATTTAATAAATGCAGTGAGTGCGTGTCTTTCGGAGTCATAGGTGGTGTGTCAGAGACGCGGAAAAGGAAAAGAAAACGGAGAAAAAGAAAGCATTGCTTCTTCTTCTTTGTTCTTGTTGGTGAGTTTGTCCTTCTTTGATCTCCATCTTTCTTTTCTTGTGAGTGCTAAAGTTCTAATCTTTTTGCAATTGGTGTTTTTTTTTCTGTTGTAGTCCTTGTTGTTTGCTTTTTTGTCTTTTGGTTTTCATTTCTTGGTCTTCACTGTGATTGGAGGAGGTTTGACTCAGAATTATTTTGGGTCTAATTAACAATCTATCAAATTTCCTCTTCTGGGTTCTCAATTTAGCTTCTGAAAGTTTCCATTTTTATCCTTTTAGTCTGAGTTATTTTTGTCGAATTTTCACTTGGGTTTAATTTTGTTAAGCCTTTCTGTGAGTTTTTTTTTTTTTTTTCTTTTTCTAATATCTCAATTTTTGGTACTACATATGAATTAAATTTTTTAATTGTGTTTTTATATTATTATTATAGGGATCTCATGTTATTAGGGTGGGCAGAAAGCCCTATTTCTAACTGAAGTTCGGTGTTTGAGGTTTGTTGTGTGGACTACCATCTTTGATGCTCTAGTTTCCACTTTTGACCTTTATTTTTCTCCCTGTGTGGTTGAAAGTTTGGTTGGTTGAATCAAGTATATATTTTTTTTTTGTAAGATTCTAATTAGAGTTTGAAGTTAGATATTTAACTTTAGGGTGTTCAACTGTTGGAGATAATGTTTTAAATTATGATTCTGACCAAAGTCTGAAATCTTAGGCCGCTTTAGGTTCATGTGAGGCTTTCTTTTATTAGAATCTCTCTTCTTTTTTTTTTTTTTTTTTTTT